CACACACACACACACACACACACACACACACACACACACACACACACACACACACACACACACACACAAAGAGTATAGATTACTGCTTGCCGCAAAGCTGCACTGAGCCACAAAGAGGTCATTCTAGTACTAGCCGACTGAGACACGAGACACTGTATTAAAGTCTATATACAATACAGATGCAATACATAGGACATACACCAACAGGCATCAATCTATAGGTAGTGCGTTATCGTAGTGTGATCCACATATATATCCTCGATACGATATACGTGGGACGAAATGTATTCGGTTCATAGTACTTCATAGTAGTTCATACTTATATACACGATGTAAGATAATCACACCATAAATAGGTAAAACTGTAAAACACACAAACATTGAAACCAAATGTCTGGAGGAGTTGAAAAGAAAAAAAAAAGCAAGCTGCTATTAAGACTGAGAAAAACACAAAAGTACTTCTTACTGAAATACGTTTTGATTCTTTTGAATCATTTAATTCGATTACGAAGATCCTGACGACTGGTACTAAATTACCACTAATAGTTGGTGAGGAGACGTTCATGAATGGAACTAGCTGTTTTTTTTTTTTTTAAACAAACAGGTCCTTATGGCCCTGGCTCCATTTCCATTCCGGGGAGCATGAGTCCGGTTCCTTTTCCACCGGCAAGTCAGGAAAAATCATTACATCATAGAATACCCTTACGCTTCCTTCCTTCTGGCCGAAGGAACCCTGATCAGCATTGATTACTCCAGCAGCGTGGAGGATTGACTGTCAGCTTGCCTTGCTTCCATCTTCCCTCTCAGGACTACTAGGGGAACCTGTAAGATACAACATGACTAGCAAGAAAGGACTGAGAAGCTGTGGCTGCTGCCGGCTCAGTCAAAACCCACACAACCTTCTGCTGGTCCTCCTGAAATTCCTAACACCTCAACCCTGAACCCTAAACCCTAGGCTCGATTGAACTTTTGCATCTGGTCCATGAGAGATAGCAGGCTGTTGCCTGTTGCGCGTCGATGTTGAAAGCTCTTTAGGGCCCATCCTGGAGTACCTCCTTTCACATGAAGTCGACCTCTAAAAAGCATTGATTGCTCCATCTTAGTGGAGGGTTATTAGATGAAGCGATGCATTATAAAGTAAACCCCACACGCTGCCTTCCGTAAGGCCGGAGGACCCCTGAACAGCGTTGATTGCTCCATCTTAGTGGAGGATTAACTGTCAGCTTGCCATA